CCTAACAATCCAACTACTCCTCCACACTTAGCAAAGGCAGAGAGGCGACTTTAGCTTTCATTGCTAAAACTAGAGTAGGGACTAGAGGCTGGCATCTACACCAAGAACAAGATAACTAAAAATAAGCGAGAACAGAGAGACACTACCTAAAACCAATAATAACTAACAAACTTTCTTAAGTTACTTTCCTTAGCCCTAAAAGAGCTCGCTGGAAGACAGCCCTGCTGTCTAACATCTCTTCCTGTTTACTAAACTGCTCTTCAGCAACTGGAGTCTGCTTTAAGCGCAGCTAGAAGCGACTAAACCGCAGCACAATAGCAGTACTATACAGAGAACACTCTCACTTTAAACAAATTGTACCTAGAACGGCCTCTGGCCAAAGTCTTACATAGTCACTGACTGCAGATAGACTCTAATGGAATAATAATAATAATAGCAGCCAGGACAGATTCTGCCTGCTCATGCTGTATCTGTGCGTACTTACGGGAGAATGCGATTTTGTGGGCTTCCCGCCCGATTCTAGCTAGCCGTGAGAGATGTATAAAGAACAGTTTCTGTGTTATATTGATCGGTGTTAGGCATTCGCGCATCTCAAGAGGGACGATAGTAGTATCTTCGTCCCAATCAGCTTCGCACAGCTCGACAGTATCGCAGTCGTCAGGGATGTACCGCTCATTAATGAGACCAGTAGTCACGAGCAAAACATCACGAACCTTACAGTGGTTAGCTTGGAGTTGTCTTGGCCACAGGCTTTACTCTTTCAGGCTATACCCAGAGGACGCCCCAAATGCGCTTCAGCAAGACATAAAATTTCGAATCTAGTTCGTCCTGAATATGACTAAGTTCATGGTAAGTACTCATCTTGATGGACAGATATATCGTGGTTGCTGACCTTCGATGAAGTCCCATGCGCATGGCAATGCGGGTGGCTGTCGATATCCAAAATCGGTAGTCCTTGTCTACAGAGTGGGTAATCCACTGCGTACCTAGTAGCAGAGCGCCTTGTAGTACAGACAATTGTTGCTTTTCGCAATTGAAGTTGTATAGTAGGATAGCACGCTTGTTGAACTCTTGCAGTGCGCTTTGGTGTGTAGCAAATCCCGCCCGGAAGAGTAGGTCTTCCGATGCATACGGTATTGCGTTAGCGAGAACGGCTTGCATTACGAACGAGGAATAGTCTGAATTGCAGTATTGAGATAGAAACGCGCATCGATCGAGCACTGGGGAATATGGATGCGCAAACGTGAAAAATTTCTCAAAGAGCTCAATACTTTTAGGAGGTGACCAGTCAGTCATGTCTCTGTGACATTGGCCCGAGCGACTCACCAGACGTCTTTTGAAGGCACAGTGAAGACATTCGCACTGTTTAGGAAGGCCACCTCATTTTCTCCCAAGCCAAACAACTCTAACTGTTGCCTGCTTCGAGGAGCAACTCCGGGCGGAAAACCAGAGTCGGTAACATGGATTATCTGCGTCATGCGATTCAGACTTTTATAGCATGCCAAAAGTTCGCCTAGTATTCTAGTTGGCTGAAGACTATTCTGGTATTCGATCACAGTCGCCCAGGGCTGCACATTGTTGAGATACCCCACCCGACCGTCGGCGCGGGGCGTTGCAATTTGCTGACAGACTTGCTGAAGGATTGTGTCTTCAGCCTCTAGCGTCGCGCAAGATGTTGTGAGGGATGGCGAATCGTCAATTGATAAGGCCGGGTCTAGATCAAAAACCTGGGTATGTTGCAAAGGTTCCACGGCAAGATGTATCACCTCGTCAGTTGAATTGCCGAGCTCGGGAGATGCTGCTGAACTGTCGAGCCCGAGAGGTGCTGCTGCGTTCTCTTGCTCAAGAGATTCTGTGGACTTCTCTAGCCCAAGAGCTTCTGCTGGGAAGTCACGATCGATATATGATTGTGTCGCGACCGGTGTGTGATTTCGGCGCCCTTTCCCATAGCGGTTGATTCTGAGTAGCGTTAGCAGCGAGTTAGATATTCAACTTTTCCAAAGCTCTGCTAGCTACCTTCGCCTCTGTCGAGGAGGAACGAAACATTCCCGCTCTCGTCCGGTTTCTACACAGCGGCTACATGGTTGGCGCTGTGCCAAAATCACGTCGCATCTAACTTTCCGATTCCGGCATGGAAGACATGCCTCTCTGCCCATGCCTGTATATGGTTTCTCTGCGCAGCTAGTTTTCTGACTATTGATTTTGTTGTCAACCGCTGAACATGAAGCCAGACCGCTCTGCTTCATTGCCGGCAACCTTCGGGCCGAGGGTTCCGAGTTTGCGGATTTGTCCTGCGTGTTGGCGGGGTATTGCGGGGTCGTATTACTATCGATTAGGCAAGTTTGAGATTTAAGACCAGCGCGAACATGAACAGAAGCTGACAATGGTCACTATAGAAGAAGTCAGGAATCCATTTCGAAGAGCAGACCTTGATAGCTCTTCTCACGTATTGATACTGGCCTCGACCGGCTGCAATCCGTATTTGCGTTGTAAAATCACACCCAGCATAGCAGCTTCAAATCCCTTTAAGGCCGCCATGCTCTCTGCCAATTTCCAGTTGATCGCAAGATTAGGGAGATTGGACCCACTGAACTGGAGCTTTTTTGCATGATCAATGATCTCGGCTGGGAGATCTTCCTGTGTGAGATTACGCAGGATCCCATTAAGCAATACATCGTGCGCTGTTCGAGGGACAGAATAGCTAGAGAAAGACGTTTTCAGCTGTTACGACACTTGACGATGGCATTTGCAGGCGATGGTGGTTTATAAAGCCGAAGACTTTGTACCGTACATACCGTCGGCCCGAGCGACCCTTGATTGTTGCTCACGATATATAGCCCCGACATGACATCGTTGGAAAATCAATAAGCATCTCTTTTCTCTTGAGGTACTTACAGTATAATTGTTCCAGCTTGCAACTTTGGATACTTCGTCATGAGTTTTCTTAGTCAAATTTTGCAACGCATACTGGAGAGCAAGTCTTTTGTACAGACCATTTTCTTGCTTGCCATTCTCTATGCAGTATATCTGGTCCTGCGGATCGGTCATCGCCCAGCGGACCTACCACCGGGCCCTCCTACTTTACCGATCATTGGCAATTTGCATCAACTACCCGCCAAAGATGTGCACCTAAGTTACCGAGAATGGTCAAAGAAATGTACGCTTTCCATCCACGATCTTTTCAAACTGGCATCTCTAACTGATACTCTAGATGGGCCAATCTTCAGTCTGATGTTGGGACAGCAAACTGTCATTGTGCTGGCTGATGGAGTTGTCATCCGCGAGCTAGTCGATGCCAGAGGATCAAACTATGCCGAACGGCCAAATCTGTGGGTTCGTGGATTGTTTGATCACTCACGGATTATCATGAGAGGATACGATGCACTTTGGCGGCTGGAGCGCAAGCTGTATCATGCTGCCCTGAACATCAAGACCGCACAGAAGTACATACCTTATCAAGAACTTGAGACTCTCCGATGCTGTGTCGAGTTGCTCGAAGAACCTGCCGATTTCGTCTCCAGTCTCGGTCGCATGACAGGGAGCATCGCAACCAGCATTACTTATGGCATGCGGCTTCCGAGTAAAAATGATCCTTCGACACAAGAACTTCTGGAAAACTCTCACGGCTTCTTCTCCTGTGTTGTCAAGACACAGTGGATGGACTGGTTTCCTTCATTGCGCCCGCTTGTGGATTGGCTCCCGCCATCTCTGAACCCCGTGGCACATACTGCGCGCTCGGCGTATATGAAAGAACGAGCAGTGTTCAAGAAGTACTACGAGATTGGGCTGCAGAGTATACACCCATGTGAGTCGCCAATACGAAATACAGTAGGGATGATGAGCTAATCACAAGGTGTAGGCTTTGCTCTTGATATTGCAGAAGCAAAGCAGAATTGGGAAGGCACTCCTGATGGCGATGCCTTGACTGATCATACAGCGTCCTACGTGGCTGGCATATCTTTCGAAGGAGCTGCCGACACGACAAGATATACGCTGCAAGGCTTTGTCAAAGTATGCACCTACCTGCTGCGAGCTTCACTGGTGATGCTGACCTTCTATAGGCTATGGCAATGTTTCCAGAGGCCCAACGAAAAGCGCAGGCAGAGATTGACAGAGTCGTGGGTGAAGACTGCCTTCCTATGGCAACACATCTGAAGCAACTGCCTTACATCAACGCCACCGCCAAGGAGACGATCCGTTGGATGCCCACTGCTATCAATGGCGCCATTCCTCACGCCGCGCGTGAAGAGGATAACTACAGGGGATTCCGCATCCCTAGAGGCGCATCAATTGTGCTGGCGGTCTGGTCGGCAAACCACAATGAGCACGATTTCCCCAATCCGCGACACTTCAACCCAGATCGGCAAGAGGCGACGACTTCTCTGTTCGAATCTGCTACCGCTAGTACCCCAGCTAAGCGGGGACAATGGGGCTTCGGCTCCGGTCGTCGAATGTGTCCCGGAATACACGTGGCATCCAATACGCTGCTCCTCGCCATCACTCGAATCCTCTGGGCATTTGACATTAAGCCCGGCAAGGATGAAAATGGCCAAGAAATCCCAATTGAACGGGATGCCATGATGGGAGGCCTCGCAGCGGCGCCGGCGCCTTTTGCATGCAACATCACTCCGCGTAGTACCGACAGAGCGGCAACTATAATACGTGAATGGGAGAAATGTTCGAATGAGCTTTTAACGGAGAAGGGAGCTTACAAACGAGCTATGACTTCGTAACGGCAGAATGGAGTGTTCTTAGACTTGAGGACTCATTTAGAATACCGTCTTATGGGACAGTGAAATCTGGCGCGAAGAATATCATAACTTGACAAAAATCGTGCGCTAGGTTTTGCAAAGGACAGTGTAGAAACACTTCTGCTTAATTTACTGTAAGGTCGCGGCCCCTCGACAGTGGCGCGATATCGGCGCACTGGTGAATCGTTAGATACAAAGACCCCAGGGGAGCCTTGGATGGACTACTCACCACCCTACTCAGGCTCCGCGCACCTACATGTAGTAAGGCCGCTGTATAGGTGTTCTTTGGGAACGTCTGGATTGCCCATATAGATTTAGGTAGCTAGGAGCCCTAAACGGGCATAAGTCAATCGTACACTTTTCCCGCTCATTGCATGCTGCTATCGGTCTTCTCACATTTTACGCACTTAAAAAAGACCTCAACCCCTCTTATTCAGTATTTGAACATTGTTTCTACAGAGAACTACCTGGCTTGTGTGGTTGTTCCTCATGCTTTCGGCTAAAGTTTTGTCCTGTAGTGGGATATTCAACAGTACCGAGACTACCAGGGTAGCGTTGTTTCTTCTCGATGCATACTCGTTCTTCAACTTACAACTTCAAATAATACACGCTCTTTGTATCGATCTACACATGACTACTCGTCCAACACATCGCTATATTCGACTCTTCACATCTCTGGACTGTGCTTCTTGCTCAACAGCCGGAAGCCTCCTTCGCATCATCTTTCCACTTCCCGTCTTTGGAATCGCATCGATGAAGTACACGCCACCAGTTAGATGCTTGTGCTTGGAGAACTTACTTGACACGATCTTCTTCACCTCAGACTCTGTCAGACTCTGGTCCCTTTTGACAACAAATGCGCGTGGATGTTCTCCATGATTGCTAATACAGGTGTCATTAGATCGCTTCTTCGCGGAGGGGGGTGTATTCATTTCAGATTTTAGCCACTATCACCGCCATATCTGCGACTCCTGGATGCAGTGATATGGCCGCTTCGAGTTCGCTCGGCGACACCTGCAGTCCCTTCACCTTGATCAACTCCTTCAGCCGGTCGATAATGTAGATCTTTTCATCCTCGCCAAAGTAGGCAACATCACCGGTGCGGAGCCATCGTCGCCCATATCGTTCCACGAGGGTATCTCGTGTTTGTTCGGGTTTCTTGAAGTAGCCTTCCGTGACATTGTCTCCAGCGACCCACAGCTCTCCGACTTCAATGCCTGGTTTGACCTCATCCCACGTCCGACCCTTCACAGGAACAATTATGGCTTCACAATTGGGATTGAGATAGCCCACAGATGCTCTGTCGTTGGCATCTCTCAGGGTGAAGCCACTAACTGATCACGTAGTCTCTGCCTCGCCGATATTTGGGCCAAGCGGAGCACTGCCAGTTAATGTGTACTCCAGTGCCTTCAAGTTGTATTCTGTTGAGTCCTGCTTCAGCATTTGGACCAACATTATCGGTACACCAGTCAGGAAGGTGATACAACAAGTGTTAAGAAAAGTCAAGAGAGTCTTGATCCCGTAGCGATGCATGGTGTAGACTCTAGCGTCCATTCTCGGGGCATTGATGCAATAGTACATTTGCCCATAAGCATGATACATGGGCAGAGGAGCCAGCCAGCGCTCGCCTGACCGGTTCAATCTCTGGCGGCGTTCGACTGCCGCTTGGTCGGATCCATCACGAGTTCGATAGAACACGAGCTGCGACAAATTTTCCACAACATTACTATGTGTAATCTCGACGCCTTTTGGCGGACCGGTCGTTCTTTAAGCATGAAATCAGCTGAAGAGTCTTCTTTATATATTGGTGATACCGGTGATGCAGGTACCCGCAGGACTAATTAATAATAATAGTCTTGTTATGCAGATATTCGATGTCATCAGAATTCTTCCATGTCCATCCCGAAATTTGCTGTTCCGATGCCCAGAAGCTTGTCCATGGCTTTGCCCATGCGCTGTGTGGGATCTTATGCTTGTCAGAGGGATCACAAAAGATGAAGATGTTCTCTCGTGACACTCCAGCTCGTAAGGCAGCTTTTCCGGCCACTGCAAGGCCATCTAGGCTCGTGAGGATAAGGCGTGCTCCCAAGTCCTTGACTTGGTTCTCTAGCTCCGCTGATGAAGTTGTCTCAGACATAGCTAAGAGTATAGCTTCCGCCGCAATGACTCCCCATAGAAGGACGAGGAAGTATAAGTTGTTGTTGGAGTACAAGAGAATTCTGTCATCATCTTTGATGCCCAAATTTCGCAACCCAAGCCCGACACGTCGTGCGAGAACTTGTCCCTGTGCAAGGTTGTAGTAGTTATTCGGACGGAATGCATCGATGTATTGCGGCTTCTGCTGTTGGGTTGTGCGCACGGAAAACACATAGCTGAGGAAACAGGCATTTGGTATTTTAATGTTAAATCGAGACTGATGGATGTTGGGTGCATTTGTTGACATAATTAAACACAACGGTGAGTCGACGCGAGTTACAGTATCACAGATAACAAGACAGTTTTCGAAAGGCCTCTGATTGTCAATAAAAACATGTGAAACCAAGCTTGCACCGTTGAACGGTTTCGCCATAATGCCGTCGGGCCGAGAGAAATACAAGTTCAACGAATCCATCGCACAGAGTCACGATCCCCACTTGGTTTCTAGCTGAAAATGGAAGTTCCTAGAGTTGCTTTGATAACGGGAGCGGCATCTGGTAAATAAACAATCTGATCATTGTACTGGTCCAGATGCTGATGTGTGATGGAATAGGCATTGGGTGTGGTACTGCGCTCGCATTTGCTGACGCCGGCTGCCGCCGATTGTGCCTAGGCGATGTCAACACCAAAGGCCTCGACAAAACACGTTCATTGATCCAAACGTGCTATCGAGATGCTGACGTGCAAGTTGTGCGCGTCGACATCTCCAACGAAGCTTCGGTAAGCGCATTCGTTGACCATTGTGTCCACCACCTCGGTCGAATCGATTATGCTAAGAATATTAGGATAACTAGAGCAATAAGTACTAGGCTACGAGCCTCACCTGTATTTAGATGACCTCCTCCCCTACCTACACCAAATTGATAGCACTACGTAGTTACCTGTAGGCCTAGCCTACACGTCTTATATAGCCCACCGGCTGAGACAGGACGTTAAACTAGAATAATAATAATAACAATAGAGCAATAAGTATATATTCCGGCAGTTTCTCCGCGCAGACGGCAAGATCGTTAAAACGCGTCCCCAAGGACGTGCGCTATTAGCAGCACTTGGCATGCAGATAGCCTGTAGTAGCGTGCTCAGATATCGCCGTACGTTATCGTAACAAATTCGACGCTATACCTATAGTAGTTATCTGCTAAGAATAGCTGTGGCGTATGCCTGTAGCTTTCTAGAAGCCTCTATGGCTAGATGCTCGGCCTACCTATTACAGCACAACCTTGACCACCGCCGTTTGCGTTACCTAAAGATGCCGATGCCGTTACTCTACTAAGAAACGATACCTCAGCACTATGCTTATATCGGCCCTCCTCTAGCCAATAATTACTTAAGGTTTTCTTTCTTGTCAATGTTACGTCGTCGCAGAGGGACAGATATTAAATAGCTCAGCACTAAACGCAATTACAGCATACTCTAGCCATAGCTATCTAAGGGTAGCTCCTTATAGTAACGTCTGCGAGAACGCTTGGTCCTCCTGCCGCTGTCTAACTGTGACACAATTTCGGTACTTCGGCGAGAGATGACATAGTTAGGTAAGATGTTAGGCCGGACATGCCTAGTTAGCTCAGATATTTAGCGAGAGAGCGGTTAAGATGTCTAACGTATAACGATGTTACAACATTGCCAAGTATCGGACCCGTCCCAGAGTCGGGTCGGGGGAAACATCCGCCGCCCCCTTCAGCAGCCATTCGTTTTTATAGTCGGATCCAGGTCGGATCCAACTAGGACAGGTGTATATTAAGACACTTCTGGTAGCTAGCTCTGTAGACTTTTGATATTCTTTCGTACAAGGCCTATAGGTGTCTACATACTCAAATCAAGGCTCATTTATTGTCCCACGCACTCCCATATACCTCTAAGTGACACTACTACCAATACTAATCCAACTACTTAGTCTTGCCTACGCTGTTACAGCTACTAGAAGTATCTCAATATATACTTACCTATCCTAGTCTGATCCGACCTAGATCCGACTATAAAAACGAATGGCTGCTAAAGGGGGCGGCGGACATTTCCCCCGATCCGGCTCCGGGACAGGTTCGACACTTAGCAGTGCTGTAATACCGTTACATAAACAGGATAGTATATATAGTCAGCGCCTGACACTAAGAACAACTAATTAGATCGCAGGGGCCGTAGAGAAGTCTATGATCCTTAGGATCTAATTATTTATTTTTAGCACATAGAGAGAAACGTTAATAGCCAAAAACATTAATGATTAGTTACTATGTCAGATAAGTGGCAGAATCCGGGTGTGATCGAGCACCTGGATTCTATGATCCGGGCCGATCAGAACTGAGTGCTAAGGCCCACCCTAGGTGAGACTGATACTCAGCCCCTACATGAGATAAAAAGCAATAGCGATAGCGCTCATAAGGCGGCGCGCAGGCGCGCCGCTGGAGCGAGGAAAAGGGACAATCAATACCATCAAGTTTATCACAGTCTTTTATCACAGTAATCCATATCAATCTTTGATCAGAAAACCCCTCACAGTCTGACAGTCTGACATACTAATAACGCTTGTTTAACTAGCTTTGATCTGATGCAGCTGCAACCCAGATAGAACGTGACCAGCCGCGCTAGGACTTCTAAACGACCCAATGGCATCACTAAATTCATATTCGAAGTAAATACAGGTTCTGTGGGAGGATATGCTCAAGCAGCTATGCTAAAGGTCAAGAAGATATGGTAGGCAATGTCGAGTGACGAGATTTTGATTGATAGTGATCTACGAGGTATCTAGGTAGCTATTGAACATATCCTTGTACTCGGGGCAATACAACAACAATGCGATCACCTGATCGCGATCGAGCAGGAACCAAGGTCATACACGAGGACCAGAGGAAAGAGGGCGTCAGCTTATTGTAGCCAGTATGGTACGAATGATATCTCCATAGGCCCTTACATATAGCTCCGATGGTGTTGATACTATGTAGCCACAGCGTCGTCATGCCTCTATACGACACAGTAAAGGTAGCCGGTCCGCCCAAGACAGCTGATGTAATCTCCAGTACGGGATTGCGGTACTCCATTAACTAGGCGCTCAACGGAGTATACTCCACTGCATGTTTCACTTGCGCCTTTTGGTTGCTTCTCGCACTAGAAAACACCAGCATATCAGCAAACATAGTAGTTCGTTATGACTGAGATCGTGATTGCTTACACAAGCAGTATAAGAATTGCCGCAGTTCACCTGCTTCGGAAAGTGATCTGTAGCGCAGCAGAAAGGGGTATTATCGGCAACGATTGGCTTCGCTTTGAAAGCCAGAAGAGAAAGAGCGATGGCAAGCATCATTTTCTGCAGCATGGTTCCGATTTTGGAAAAAGAAGACAGACCGAAATAGAAGGTTATCTGTGGTGGCGTTCTGTGTGGGATTGAGGTTGATATTCGGAAGGTGAACGACAAGCGTCAGAGTTTTTATACTAGAGCAGTAACTATAGTCTTTTGCTGGTGCAGTACAAGCAGAACTTTTGATAGGACTTGGACTTGTCTAACTAGTTAGAGCTAAAACAGCTCACATTCTAAGCTTTGAAAGCTTAATGGACGGCGAATCTAAGATGCTGCCGCGTCATACTTGTCAGCTCCTGGTAGTTAAACCTTGAGTGTCAATCACCCCGCGTAAATACCTGGAACAGCGGCACGAAAGTATATGAAGGTATAGAGCTTGATAAGCGACTTCATCGAGCGATTGAGAAGTATTTGATTTTGCCGTCGGGTAGCAAAGGGTCAGAGTCCGGTCTTGGTCTAGAGATCTTCTGCAGTCTCCAATAAGCAGAGATGTCAACAATCAAGCTGAGTCAAGCTCATCAATCAAGCTGGATTGACTCAACGGTCAAGCTGAGTCAAGCCAAGCTCATCAAGCTGTATCAAGCTGTATCAAGCTCGTCAAGCTCATCAAGCTGAGCTTGATAGAGCTTGATGAGCTTGATACGCCCGTGCGTAAAAAAAGAAGAATAACTATGAACTCCTTTACGTAGGCTACTAATCTATAGTAACGTTAACTCTTACCTCTATCTCTAATACTATACGTGTCAATTTATTATATATATCTTCTTATCTTACTAATTTCTTGATTGCAAGCATGCCACCAAAAAGACGCGTCCAAGCTATTGTTGCTACCCCACCGAAGCGGTCTCGGGGCGTGCCCCGCGGTACTCTAAGCCAGCCTATATCTATCGAAAGCCCGCCATCATCCTCTCGCTTATCACCTCGTCAAGCTCTAGTTGAAG